AATAATAGGGACCAGGGCTTGCGATGTTACTCTTTGGGGCAAGAAATGAGCCCAAAATCTTAGGGACCAGTACTTTTTGGGGCAAGAAATGAGCTCAAAATCTTAGGGACCAGGGCTTGCGATGTCACTTTTTGGAGCAAAAACTGTGCCCTAGTATTGGGGGGAGGAGGGCTCGTGATTTAGTATTGGGAGGAGGCCCGGGCTCGTAAATTAGTATTGGGGGGAGGCCTGGCTCGTGATTTAGTATTGCGGGAGGCCCGGGCTCGTGATTTAGTATTGGGGGGAGGCCCGGGCTCGTGATTTAGTATTGGGGGGAGGCCCGGCCTCGTAATTTGGAGGCCCGGGCTCGTGATTTAGCCCGGGCTCGTGATTTAGTATTGGGGGGAGGTTTGACCTCGTGATTCAGTATTGCGGGAAGGCCCGGGCTCGTAATTTAGTATTGGGGGGCGGCCCGGGCTCGTGATTTAGTATTGGGGGGAGGCCCGCGCTCGTGGTTTAGTATTGGGGGGAGGAGGATGCCCCAGCCCCCACCCCCCATTTGGAAATAAATGAATTACTTGAATTAATTGAAATAATTGAATTAATTCAATTAATTCAATTAATTGATGTATTTCCAAAGGGGAGGTGGAATTTTTTTAATTAATTGAATTAATTGAATTATTTCAATTAATTCAAGTAATTCATTTATTTCCAAATGGGGGTGATTCCCCAGCCCCCACCCCCCCCTCCCCTTTGGAAATAAATGAATTAATTGAATTAATTGAATTAATTGAACTAATTCAATTAATTCAATTAATTCAATTAATTCATTTATTTCCAAAGGGGAGGTGGAATTAATTGAATTAATTGAATTAATTCAATTATTTCAATTAATTCAATTAATTCAATTAATTCATTTATTTCAAAATGGGGGGGATTCCCCAGCCCCCACCCCCCCCCCTTTTGGAAATAAATGAATTAATTGAATTAATTGAATTAATTGAATTAATTGAATTAATTGAATTAATTGAATTTCAATTAATTCAATTAATTCATTTATTTCCAAAGGGGAGGTGGAATTAATTGAATTAGTTGAATTAATTCAATTATTTCAATTAATTCAATTAATCCATTTATTTCCAAAGGGGGGGGAGGGGTGGGGGCTGGGGAATCCCCCAATTTGGAAATAATTGAATTAATTGAATTAATTGAATTAATTCAATTAGTTGAAATAATTGAATCAATTCAATTAATTCAATTAATTCAATTAATTCAATTACTTCAATTAATTCCACCCCCCCCCTTTGGAAATAAATTGATTAATTGAAGTAATTGAATTAATTCAAGTAATTCAATTAATTCATTTATTTCCAAAGGGGGGGGGTGGGGGCTGGGGAATCCCCCCCATTTGGAAATGAATGAACTAATTGAACGAAATTATTTAAACTATCGCGGCTCGATTTGGCCAAATTTTGCCGGGCAGCCTGCGGGCAAAATTTGGCCAAATCGGGCTGCTCTTCGAATGCCATGAGAAATGCGCGGCTCGATTTGGCCAAATTTTGCCCGGAGGCTGCCCGGCAAAATTTGGCCAAATCGAGCCGCGCATTTCTCAGCGCGTACGACGAGCAGCCCGATTTGGCCAAATTTTGCCCGCAGACTTCCCGGCAAAATTTGGCCAAATCGAGCCGCGATAGTTTAAATAATTTCGGGCCTCCAGCAAGGCGCGGCTCGATTTGGCCAGATTTTGCCGGGCAGTCTGCGGGCAAAATTTGGCCAAATCGGGCTGCTCGTCGAACGCGATGAGAAATGCGCGGCTCGATTTGGCCAAATTTTGCCGGGCAGCCTCCGGGCAAAATTTGGCCAAATCGAGCCGCGCCTTTCTGAAGCCCGAAATTTTTAAACTATCGCGGCTCGATTTGGCCAAATTTTGCCGGGCAGCTTCCGGGCAAAATTTGGCCAAATCGGGCTGCCCTTCGTATGCGATGAGAAATGCGTGGCTCGATTTGGCCAAATTTTGCCCGGAGGCTGCCCGGCAAAATTTGGCCAAATCGAGCCGCGATAGTTTAAATAATTTCGGGCCTCCAGAAAGGCGCGGCTCGATTTGGCCAAATTTTGCCGGGCAGCCTCCGGGCAAAATTTGGCCAAATCGAGCTGGGGGGGTGGGGTCTGGGGAATCCCCCCCATTTGGAAATAAATCAATTAATTGAATTAATTGAATTAATTGAATTAATTCAATTGAATTAAAATTAATTCAATTAATTCCACCCCCCCTTTGGAAATAAATGAATTAATTGAATTAATTGAATTAATTGAATTAATTCAATTAATTCAATTAATTCAATTAATTCAATTAATTCAATTAATTCATTTATTTCCAAAGGGGGGGAGGGGTGGGGGCTGGGGAATCCCCCCCATTTGGAAATAAATGAATTAATTGACTTAATTGAATTAATCGAAACAATTCAACTAATTCAATTAATTCAATTAATTAATTTATTTCCAAAGGGGAGGTGGAATTAATTGAATTAATTGAATTAATTGAATTAATTCCAATTAATTCAATTAATTCAATTAATTCAATTAATTCAATTTATTCAATTAATTCATTTATTTCCAAAGGGGGGGGGTTCAATTAATTCAATTAATTCAATTAATTCAACTAATTCAATTAATTCCACCCCCCCTTTGGAAATAAATGAATTAATTGAATTAATTCATTAAATTCATTAAATTCCAGGGGGAAAGTGGAAATTAAAGAATTTAATGAATTAAATTCTGTCTGTGCAACCCTACAAGACCTAAAATAGGGTCTATTTGGAACATGGCTCTTGTGAATAAGTATACATTTTGGGGCCTGTTTTCCTCTTGTAAATACGATTCCCAGCTTCCAAATACACCCTATTTAAGCTGCACACCCCCCCCCCCCCCCCCCTATTTCGTAAACCCCCATTGAGGGCTCACGGTGTATGGTTGCAGTTTGCTGGGATACTCCGTACAATTACGTTCCTGAGAACCCCCGCGTCCCCCCCCCCCCCCCCCAAAAAAAAAAAAAAAAAAAAAAAAAAAGGTCACCGGCAGAGTTGGATATAGGTACTCTAGTACCCTACTTGTGGCACTCGTTATACCTGCTCATGAACCTCCAACCAGCTCCTAAACCCCTAAACCCCAAAATTACTTCTGGTGCAACATTACAACCTACAACTGTAAATATACAACTTCTTTCTCCTCGTGTGGCCTGAGCTAGTTACTGGAACGGGTTGCGCAAGTTTTCATTGGTTTGGACACTACGCACAGGTTAAGAGCCTTGTTGCTTGGCCTGGACGAGCTGTTCGAGAAGTTTTTTGGTATAGCGAAGAGGTACCACTTGCATAGCGAAGTTTTCCGCATTTGTCACTTGTGTTCGTTGACTGCAGCAATGTCCACACGTGATAGCATTGGGAGCAGTGAGTCTAGCGATAGTGATGTGTTGGGAGCAGGGAATAGATTCCTCGAGGACCAGGTCACTGCGGTCAATCCCAAAGAATCCTAAGTACCTATATGGGGGTCACTTACCCAAACCATAATGGTAATTCCTACTATAGAAACTCTACTTTCTACTATGTAGGTACTTAGGACCCTTTGGGAATCAGGATGTGGCCGCCGCTGATAGTCATGTGCGAAGTATAGCCGACGCCGAAAACATGGACTTCATCGACGACGGACGGAATAGTGGAAGGACAAGAATGGAGATGGATAGCAATGCTGATAGAGATCGCTTCGGCCTCAATTTCTCAGGACCGCTTACTGTAGACGTTAGGTCGAGCGCTGCAGATAGTGTGTTAGTGCCAGGACCACCACCAGGACTGGCGGATAGAAGCTTGGAGATCGTGGCGACGATGGATAGTGTGGGGAGGTCGGGAGGGCTGGGCTATGCCGGGATAGCGGACACGTCAGGCACTCAGGGGAGGGACGCAGGCGAAGAATTGCGGGAGTTGCTCGCAGTCCCGTCAATCGCAGATAGAGGGGATGCAGTGATGCAGCTCAGCATGCTTGCAAGCAGTCCTGTAGTATTCGATCCAGTCATGGGAGCTACAGATTTAAATGAGTATAGGGCCGGAAGAGATGGGATAGAGGCAGGAAATGCTAGGACTCCGACGCTTGCTATCGAGGATCTGGCTGGATTAGGTGGAAGGATGGAAGAGGGACCGTTCGCCAACCCCTCCGAGACTGTGCTCCACGGGACGGATCACGAGACGACGGGAGATGCCAAGGGAACCACCGGATCCAGGATAGAAATGGCAATAGAGGATAGAGTGGATAGCCTTGCAGTGTCATCATCGTCAGATCACGATAGGACGATCAGGAGGAATGATGATGGGATAGATGCAATGATGAATAGTGGCGAGCTTGGTGCTGAAGGCGATCGCATGAGAAGTGCGGATAGCGGACACTGCATGGGCAGAAGGAATGGAGACGATCTCGTTCCCGGAGTGTATTCGAATAGTGCGGCCATGATTGGGAATGTCGGTGTCGATCCTACAGATCTGGAGTTGATAGCTAAGGGATCTTCAGCGGTAGTGCAGAACACGATCAGTGAGAGCGATGATAGAGCGCTGTCTGTATTTTCGTCAACAGGTCTGTCGGAGGCATCGCCAGGCGGGAATGTTGAAGCGTTGAAAGATGTGGGGATGGGTCAAACTTCGACGATCGAAATAGAGTGGGGATCCCATGGAATCCGGAGTGCTCTCGAAGAAACGGGGGTCATCACCGATGCAGACTTCGCGAAGTTCTTCACGGATCAGGGACCGGGTGACCCAGGCTCAACGCCCATGACGATGCACTCGGAATCGCAGGAGCGATGGAACGCTGGGATATATGGTGCCGAGGTCACAGGGATAGAGAGCAGCAGGTCACGAAAGATGTCGATGGGGTCGGATAGTGGGCACTCTGGTGGTCGATCTACATCTTTGAAGAGGGATAGCCCGGGTGGATCGGAGACTGGGGTCGGTGCCACGAACAAGATAGGCAAGATGGATGAGGGAATGCGTAAGCAACGAGCAGAGCAGGCCGTTAAAGAAATGAACAAGACGACCGAGGTCGGAGGACCGATCCATCAGGCAGGAATGATCACCCCGGATCAGGGCAGCGAGGGATGGGGCAACCGATCCCCGGCCCCACGATCCCCTGGGATAGGTGGGCAATACGAACAGTTCGTGATCAATACTCCTCCTGAAGGACGAGGCAGGGACGATGAGATGAGGGCAACATCATCCCCACCAAGGCGGGCAAAGACGAGAACTCCTGTCGATTCGGACAAGTCGTCGTTGGGAGAGATAGACGGCAGGATAGATGACTTGCAGACGGTGGTTGTGGACACGCAGACCGACGTAGCCAAGCTTAAGGTGGCAAGTGAATGTGCAAGTGCAATTGCCAATAGCTCAGCGGAGAAGGCGGACGTCATGAGCAAGAGATTAGTGGAATGCGAGGAGGAGGTGAAGCACTGGAAAGGGTGGATAGAATCGCAGCAGATAGATACGAAGACAACACTGTCGCAAGAGCTGAAAGAGATGAGTCGGGTCATGGACGGGAGCATCAGCGAGGACAGGATGGATGACACAATGGCCCCGCCGCTGACCGAGGGAGCCATGCAGCTCGCACGGAAAATGAGACGGCAGGTTGAAAACATGAAGGTACTCAAGACCTCTGTTACAACAAGGTTGAAGGGAGTGGAGGAGCGACTATCTACGGTGGAGCACTCAGCGGACGTGGTCAAACAGAGTACCGGGTCGAAGATCACTACGATAGAGACAGGGTTGAACGAAATGAGACGTGGCATAGGTGCAGTTTTCTCGGGCATGCACATGCGACATGAGAATGGAACATGGAGGAGCGAGAGACTGGATAAGGTAGAGACAGTCTTGAATAGACAATGGGATCAGATCAAGTTGGCAGGTGAGGAACTAAAGAAGCTGAAGTCCAAGGGGAGCCAGAACGCCGGAATAGATAAGGCATCGTCATCCCATTGCAACACCCAAGGAAAAGGTCCTGGATGTGGATGCAGAGAACCAGGCGAGGGTCACGGCACATGCATAGATGGAGCAGTACGCGGCGAAACCAAGAAGCTGAGTGAAGTGGTCCTGGCGCAGAAGGAACACATAATGACCGTCGCGAGAGAGGTGATAAAGAACCGCAAAAGCGTGGCTGAGATCGTGGCGAACATGACAAAGGTTCACAAGAATTGTGAGAATGTTGCGGCGAGAACCGATCGGATAGATGAGAGGAGGAACGGAGATCAAGCCTGGGTGAAGGACACCGTGCGAAAAATGGAAAAGACAATGGAATCGATGTCGAGCCGAATGATAGATGAACAGAAGAGAGTTATGGGCGAGTTTATTCTGGTCAATGCTCGAATTGATGAGAGTGCACGGAACGAAGGGGTAGGTAAGGCACGAGGAAACAGCGCGGAGATAGGAAAGCCGCCGACTATGTCACTATGTCACGCGGGCGAGATAGTCACGGTGGAGGTGGGGGAGCTGATGGAAGAGCCAGGAGTGACAACGCTCGAGGAATAGAAGCTTCGAGGCCGGAGACGGCGGGCCCCGTGGTAGATCGGAGGATCGAGAATAGATGCATTGTGTTAGAACAGCAGGTAACCAAGATCACTAGTCAATTGCAGGGATTGACCACTGTGAATGAGCGAATCGTGAGGGAGAACGCTGGTCTGCTCAGCGAGATAGAAAGTATGAAAGGGGAGAACAAAGGAGTAACGGAGTCGGTAGCGCGGATGATCCGGGAGAGTAGAGATGAGGTGTCTAAAATGAGAGCAGATCTGGATCTCCGAAGTAGGGAACTGCTAGAGCTCAAAGAGAAGAACGAGCAGCTGGAAACAACGGTACGGGAATATGAACGGAGACTGGAGCAGGTGAAGCGAAATGATAGCATCAAGGCTGAGCTGGATAGCATGTGGAATAGAATAGGTGAGATCGCCAAACAGAGCTCCGAGTATGCGATGCCGGCGCCGGCGGCGGGAGGTGCTTCGAACGCTGGCTCCGCGAGACCAAGTGCAGGTGCTACGCCTGCCCCAAGCTCCTTCGGCGATAGAAGAGAGCATGGAAGAAAGGATAGGCAAGGAGATGGAGGTTTGTTGGGAGAAGAGACTAGGGTCAGGAGGTGCCCCGTGTGCGTTAGACAGGCAGAAATGATGATTGCATGTCAGGGCTGTGGAAGAGAAGTGTGTGGCAACTGCTATGAATACCATGATGACTTGTGCATGCTGTGCTCCACCGATAGAAGGGGATGCGACGCAGGAGGATATGCAGGGACAGGACTTCCGAGACCGCAAAGTGGACGCGATCATGATGGGGATGATGCCAGATTCAGGAACCCGGTCGGCGGAGGGTATAGCAAGTTCAAGGACACTAGGGGGATGGAGAAATGCAACGAGATCTCGATAGCGAAGGAGCCATCGTCTGGAGAAGTAGGATTGTGGCTGGGCGACGTTGCACATACCGCAAAGGCTGCGTATCTGTATGATGGGGAGTATGCATACACTCAGGTACTGAAGGTACGTGAAAGGAGCGAAGCAATGATAGACATGGAGCTCAAGTACCCTGCGCTAGAGAACCAGCTGTTTAGCGGATTGAAGAGAGCAATAAAGTCAGAGTCATTGTCAGCGAAGGTGAAGATGGAGATGTACAAGACTCAGAAAGTGGGAGATGGAAAACCGATGACGGCCATGAGATTGCTTACGCTGATAGTGAAGCATGTTAATCCCGATAGCTAAGGAGAGTCAGGTACTGTACGATGGTCTGAGTAGCACGAAGGTTATGCATTTCCCAGGGAAGCCCGAAGAGGAGGCAATGGAGGAATTCATGACTAGATGGGATCTGGCACATACGAACCTTGTAGGGCTGAAAGGCAACACCTGGAGCGAGCAACAGTTGGGGTGGATGTTGCATTCGAAGGTGCAGAGAGTTCAGGTGCTGAATCACGATATTGAGGCATGGAGATTGCTCCCGGACGAGGCCAAGACGCATACCTGGTTGCGAAAGAGAATCAAGGATAGACTGGAGATGTGGAGAGCGGACAAGAACATAGACGAGGCCTCAATGTGGGTGAGCCGACAGGCGTTCTCGAGTGGGTATGCCGCAATGCCGGCTCAGCAGGGATCATATAGAGCGCCGGTGAATAGAAGAAGCGCGTACGCCGATGATAGACCGAGGAGTTCATCGCCCGGAGGGGGAAACGGCTACGGAAGAGGGATATCTGTGGGAAGAGGCAGGGACGGACTTTCGCAGGCGGGGAGAGCTGATGACCCGAAGAATAGATATGGATCCAAGTCGCCGTTTGGAAAGAGAGGGGTCTGCTACCCCTACACGCGCGGAACGTGCCCGATGACTGCGGCGGACTGCAAGCATTCGCACGATATTTATCTGTATAGTCAGGCGGAAGAGGTTCTCAAGAAGGCGGGATATTGCTTTGAGCATTTTCGGTATGGCAACTGTAGAAATGACAAGTGTAAAATGCTCCATGAGGCTATCCCGAATAGCATTAGGGAGGCATTTGAGACAATAGAGATAGAGCAGAAGGAGACGAGGCCATCGAGTCCGCATGCTGATGGTGAAGGGCCAAGTTTTCGCTAGGGGCGGGCCGAAACCCACAGGCCAGCGATGATAGTCAGGTATATGCGGCCATGCCTGTGGTACGACAAGGGGATGATGGCGCCGAAGGCACGCATAGAAGAATACTAGTGACAGCTGTAGGCAGGGAGCGGGCGAAGAAGGGCAATAGACGAGTCAAGGGATTGGGCTCCGATGAGACGGGGATAGCAGGACTGGATATATGCTACTGGATAGGACACCCAGCAGACAAGACGGTCCGAAAATGCAAGAACGTACACAAGAAGGGATATGAACATGATGTGAAACGATATCCCGTGATTGAAGAGGCAAAGGCAAGGCTGCGCGGGATATCTCTGGCCGAGGAGGTTGTGCTGGACATCTTGGCCGGAGAGCACGGAGAGGAAGGTAAGGCTGCGTCGAGATTGGCAGACAGGATAGTCGAGGAATGCAGGAGAATAGGTATAGTCGATGAGAGATTCCGCGTGGATAGCCGAGAGGAAAGTCTACCGGCGGCATCAGCTCAGCATTGCCTGCCACCAGTGATGAGACGATGGATGATAGACTCGGGATGCGCTATGGATCTCATAGCAGAAGCAGACCTCACCCAGGATGAAAAAGAGATGGCCATCGAGGCGAAGAAAGTGAGGTTCAACACCGCCAACGGCAACACCACGTCAAAGCAAGAGATATGCATGGACATACAGGGAATGCCCGAGACCATGAGAATTAGAATGCTCGAAAGTACACCTGCTGTTTTATCGATGGGGAGGAGATGTATGAAATTGGGATATTCATTTCATTGGCTAGCGGGTGCTAACCCTGTGTTCGTCAAGCCGGACTCGAGCTTGATTGTGCTAAAAGTCATCGGGGATATCCCATACATGGTGGATAGAACATCAACGGTTGTCAGCGAGCATGAGCGAAGTGACTATCACATTTATCCTGCGATGCCCGCACCTCTTGCGATTGAACTGCCTGTGCGAGGAAATTCCAGTCCGAGGAAAGTCGAAGGAAAACAGGATGAATGTAGCCCCAAAAGCATGGACTCGGACACGGATAGAGACAACGAGGAGGAACCAATAGGAAAGACCGGAAATGACGATGGAAGGTTGCTAGATAAGTGGATGCTAACGGGCAACAAAGCGGTGTGCTTCCACAACAAACCAAGAACGAAGACATGCGATCCATGGGTTGAGACGTTGAAGTTCCCAGAGATACATGCACTTGTGCCGCGGTTCGCCGAGAGGTGTAGATCTAAACGTGTGTACGAAGGAGGTAAAACCGTGGCAGAATGGATAGACTGGGTGGATGAGTGTCAGGAGGGAGGGAATAGAGACGCGGAAAAGAACCTATGGACGGGCAAGACTATGTTCAAAATAGAAGGGCTCACCTTCGAAGGAGCGGATGCCGGGGGATCGGCACAGAATGATAGTGTGAAGGTGAGAAAACACATCTTGAACAGACTAGCTGCGGACGAAACCACGGGGCTAGATGACTTGATGATGATGCTGGACAAGAACATCGGTACCGGTGGCGAGGCAGAGACGCTAGTTGAGATAGCCAGATGCTTATGGCCGCTTGCTCCTCAAGAAATACTTGACGGCGGAAAGGCGCAAAAACCCCAAGGAGAGACGAGACCTGAAATCATGAAGATAAGGAAAGCGATTGAAGGGAACAAACGGGTTATTGTGCACATTTGTTGTGGAAAGTCAAGGGGGAAGTTTGATGACGTCGCAAATGAATTAGGAATGAGTTTGATAGACATCGACATGGAGGAGAATGTGCTGCGAACTGATACATGGTGGTGGCTAGTGAAGCTGGCTACAACTAATTTGGTATTTTGCTGGCTAGCCGGACCGCCTTGCAGAACAAGATCCGTGATGAGATACAAAAGGCCTGGTCCGATCCCGCTTAGGTCGAGGAATGGACCAGAGAGGTGGGGATACTCGTTTATCAGTTGGGCGCAGAAGCAGGAGTGCCGTGACGACGACATCATCATACTGCGCGTGTGCATGCTTGTTGTGATAGGGAAGGCACGTCACCGACGACTGAGAGCCCCAACGATGTGCCTCATTGAGCAGCCCCAGGACCCCGAGACATATTGGGATGAAACGCCAGAAGGAGGATACGCATCATTGTGGGCAACAGAAGAATGGGATAGGACGAGTGCCATCCTAGGAACAAAGTTGTTCAGTTTTGATCAGGGGCCGATGGGACACTCTAGGAAAAAGCCGACAACGATAGCAACTGACGCAGAGTTGATAGGATGGGCAGTCAACCTTAGAGGACAGGGGACTGGAGCAACGATCGATAGCGGTGATAGGAGCAAGGGCGAGATGAGCGAATCGCAAAACTGGGCGGAATGGGCACCGGGATTCGTGCGAGCCATCAAAGAGACTATGTGCAAGTACTACCGAGCATCATCGGTGACCGGAACGAAGATAGCCGAGAAGAATAGGGAAACGATGATAGAACAAGATGATGTTGACGGTCGACTGAAGACGACGTTTTATTGCGCCGCATGCAAGGCCGATTCATCAGGAGTGTGTGGATTTTGTGAAAGAATCTTGAGTCCTCAACAAATTGAGGCGGGACAAAGCGCACGCAATATGACGGATGTGGAGTTCCAGCTTGTCCGAGGAATGAAGAAGAATCCAGATGACGATCGACAGATGACGGAGCAAGTTGTCGCTGCACCTGGCGAAGAAGAAAGCGCTGAAAACAGAGGCGATTTGAATTTTGATATAGAGTTACCCGGGATAGCCGACGAAGAACAGGCCAGACGGGGAGTGGAAGAGCCTCGAAAGGATGATAGCGGCGTGGACACGGGAGAAGTGGAACAAGGAGAGGCAGAGATCGGACCTGCAGATCAGGTTCGAGTTGCGGATAGACTTGGCGAAGGGAAAGGGTCGAGCAAAACTGTGAGCATCAGAAGAGCGAGGTACTCACCG